CCCGTTGCCGGTCCCGGTCCGGTATGGGCGCGACACTGAGGGTTGCGATCCATTGCTGGTCCCGAAAAAAGAGACAAAAAGACAAAAAAAAAAAAAAAGAGGAAAAAGAGGAATTAAGTTATGAGTCTTAATAATTTTATCTTTGTGGGAAAATATATACTAATTCCTGATTTTGTTAATTTTATAACATAGGTTGAATTTTAGAGTCGGGTATTTATAAGTAATGGAGGATAAAATGGGTGGGAGAAAATGGCACACAGCATATGAAGAAAGATGGGGCAGTGGCCTCTAGAACTCATGTATTGCCATTGGAAAGCATGTGTTGGGCATTGATGTCAGATCCTGAAGAATCACCTGGAAAGATAACTCTCCTAGAGGCAAGGAGGCTACACCAGACAAGAGACTACAATACTCTGTCACAAGGTTTTCCATCATCATGTATTACAATCAAAATGTTTACTTGAATAAAGAAAAAACCCACATAACTCTCATATGTGAAATGTATTTTGATTTTTTAATTTTGGGATTAAGAAGCTCAGATTGCCATAATCTTACATTTCTTCCCATTCATAATATTACAAATTATATTTTCAAACATAATTTCAAGTCTGTACATCTTTAATGACTTGAAGTTTTACAACATATTTAAAGCCTTTAACAATAAAGTGAAAGCCATTAATTGCATTTGCTCTAAAAATGAACAAAATATTGGGGCTGGTAAGTTAGCTCAGTTGGTTAGAGTGTGGCGCTTATAACACCAAAGTGAAGGGTTCAGACAACCGTACAGGCCAGATGCCAGAAAAAAAAAAAAAAAGTATAAAAATGAACAAAAAATTATTTTGAATTGCAGTCATTGGTAATTTGAGTACATGTTTGTAATGCATACCAAAATTTAATTGATAATAGCTGTGTACAACTGTGTTGCACACATTGATCACTTATGACATTTAAAACTGATCTACCTGAATCCGAGTTCATAGTAAATAAGTAATACTAAAAAGTACTGCCCTATTTTTGTGTGTGAGTGTTTTTCTTGATTGATTGATCCTGATAAATTAAACTCTACCTTCAAGAATGGACATTAACTCCTCCAGTTAATGCATTATATATTCACTGGCTAGTATTAGATTGAACCTTTATGTCTTGATGTCAGTATCTTCACATGCACATTGGTTGCAACATGTATACATTCGAGTTTGAAAAGTTCTTATAAGATTAGCTAAAATTAAAACCCCAAACTGTCCATTATAAATATTTTAATTTCACCTGATTAATCATAAAAAGTTTATTCAACACCTTAAATAGATTTCTCTAGAATTTTTTATACAAGTGTTAAACCTTTGGAATATAAATATAAAATCTAAAGCTATTGTTGGATTTCATCCCTTTATTGCTAGGGTTTTTATCCT